AGAAGGAGGAGGAGGAGGAGGAGGAGGAGGAGGAGGAGAAAAGAAGAAGAAGAAGAAGAAGAAGAAGAAGAAGAAGAAGGCCCTTAGGCCTGCCGAGGACCTAGATCCTCGCATTCCCTCCTCCTGTACTTCGATAGTCCTCTGAGAAGTCTTCTATTATGCAGGCATCTTCCCTTTGATATCTCTTTCGTAGCCTGCAATGACTCGAGGTGCAGTTCTCACGAGTCCTTCTCTGGTGAACCACCGATCTTTGCTGGGATCCAGATGATGTTTGAATCTGACCCGGTACTGCATTTTCGGCTTAGGAGGGCGGCCTCTGCCCGGTGGTCGAGGAACAAGCATCACTCGATGCTCCACGATCTGGTCGATGTCCACTTCGCCATCCATGGTTGGGGGCATCATTAACCGTCTGGAAGGGAACTGTGAAGACTTCGCAGAAGGTGACAGCTTTGAGGCATGGAAAACAGGATGTGTGCGTAGGTGTGGTGGGATGCGAATCACATAGGAGGGTCCGTCTACCTGATCTCCCACTATGTCTAGGACCTCCCATGGACCGAAGTACTGTGGCATTAGTTTTCTAGAAATTCCAACTTCCTGTTCCAGTTCAGATGACTTGACCCAGACTTTGTCTCCTACCTGAAAATTAGAAGGTCGTATGTGTTTGTTCTCAGATGCAACCATAGCATCTTGAGACTTTCTAATGTGTTCAACGGCCTGTTGCAGCATTTGTTCGTATCTGACAACAAACTCTATGTTTCCTGGTGTTGTAGAATCAAGGGCGGATTTGGGCTTCCAACCAAGATGCAGTTGGTTGGGAGTCTTGCCGGTAAAGTTGTGCACAACGTTGTTGTACAGGTTGACGACGAGTGGTAGCTTCTCGTCGCAGTCATCCTGGCTTGGCTTAATGTAATGCCGAAGCAAGTGTTGTACTACTCGGTTCATTTGCTCCACCTGTCTGTTCGACTCAGGGTGGTTCCCTGATGTCATCTGTAGTCTGGTTCCCATCTGTTGGACTGTGTTTTGTCACAGTTCGCTGGTGAAACGAACATCCCTATCACTGACGATAGACTTCGGTAAGTCGAAGTCCCGTACCTAGTTTTCCATAAGTAGTCTGATGACGTAGTCAGTCTTAGCAGTTTCTGGCATAGCAATTAGTCTTGCATACTTGGAAAAACAGTCTACTATAACGAAGATGTGCCTTTTCCCGGACCTGCTGGTCACAAGAGTATCTATGAAGTCCATGGACACACTCTGACGAGGACCTTCAGGAATCGGCAAGGGCTTGATGAGCCCGAGCGGAGCCTGAGTCCTAGGTTTGTCCCGTTGGCAAACCTGACAGGTTTCAACGTACCTCTTGGCATCTTGCATCATAGTTGGCCACCAGAACCTCTGTACCAGGTTAGCTGATGCCTTCCTATAACCAACATGACCAGTTGCATCATGACACTCACCTAGAAATAAACTACGCGAAGACTCACTATTGGGAACACACAGTATTTTATTCCCTGCCTTCTCAAGAAACAGCAAGCCGTCAACCATCGTTAATTCATCTGAAGTCACTTTGTCTTTCGCTTGAAATTTACGGATGATCTCAGACAT